TTTTTTTTTTTTTTTTTTTTTTAAGATGGAGTGTTGCTCTGTTGCCCAATCTAGTGTGCAGTGGCACGATCTCGGCTCATTGCAACCTCTGCCTCCTGGGTTCAAATGATTCTCCTGCCTCAGCCTCCTGAGCAGCTGGGATAACAGGCTCCTACCACCATGCCCAGCTGATTTTTGTTTTTTGTTTTTTTGAGATGGAGTCTCAGTCTGTCGCCCAGGCTGGAGTGCGGTGGCGCGATCTTCGCTCACTGCAACCTCTGCCTCCCGGCTTCGAGCGATTCTTCTGCCTCAGCCTCCCGAGTAGCTGAGACTATAGGCACACGCCACCATGCCTGGCTAATTTTTGTATTTTTAATAGAAACGGGGTTTTACCATATTGGCCAGGCTGGTCTCGAACTCCTGACCTCGTGATCTGTCTGCCTTGCCTCCCAAAGTGCTGGGATTACAGGCATGAATCACCGTGCATGGCCTAATTTTTGTATTTTTAGTAGAAACGGGGTTTCACCATGTTGGCCAGGTTGGTCTCGAATCCCCAACCTCAAATGATCCTCCTGCCTCGGACTCCCAAAGTGCTGGGATTACAGGCATGAGCCACCGCTCCCAGCTGTAGATTCTTACAAGGAGTGCTCACCCTAGGTGGCTTGGATCCTGGTACCAGTCCACAGCCTGGGTTTGGGGATCCCTGGCCTCGAGGTTAGGATTGTGGGCCGCCTGGGTGCCACTTGGGCAAGTCATTTCACCACTCTTTGCCTTCTGTCCTATGGAGGTGCTATGGTTTCCCATCAGTAGAATGGGGGTAAAAATTATACCTACCTGATATGGAGGATGAAGTGAGTTCATCTGTGTAAAGACCTTAGAAGAACAGGCCTGGCACTGTGGCTGTCACCCGTAGTCCCAGAATGTTGGGAGGCCAAGGTGAGAGGATCACTTAAATCCAGGAATTTGAGGCTGCAGTGAGCTATGGTGGTGCCTCTGCACTCCAGCCTGGGTGACAGAGGGAGATCGCAACTCAGGAAAAAAAAAAAAAAAAGAAAGAAAGAAAACAAAGACCTTAGCACAGTTGGTGCTATTTGTGAGCAATTATTTGATTATTTTTTGTATCTATTTATTTTGAGATGGCGTCTCGCTCTGTCACCCAGGCTGGAGTGCAGTGGTGCAGTCTCAACTCACTGCAACCTCTGCCTCCCAGGTTCAAGTGATTCTCCTGCCTCAGCCTCCCGAGTAGCTGGTACTACAGGCGCCCGCCACCACGCCTGGCAAATTTTTGTACTTTCAGTAGAGATAGGGTTTCACCATATTGGTCAGGCTGGTCTCAAACTCCTGACCTTAGGTGATCCACCTGCCTCAGCCTCTCAAAGTGCTGGGATTACAGGTGTGAGCCACCGCGCCCGGCCTGCCATTATTTATTTGTCAGTCTGCTGTAACCTGGGAGGAACCCAAACATGGCGTTGTCACACAATATTCCCAAGGGACTCCTAAATATAGAATTGCACAAATTGACACAGAAACAGACATAACCAGGGGGTGGGGGTCTCAGATTCAACAAATTCCTGTTAAATTCCCAGAGGACCCAACGGTCCAGGGAAACTAATTTCAAATCCCAGGGAGCCTGAGTTCCCAGACTTCCAGACTGACCACTGGTTCCCCTCCTGTGTCCCCAGTACTATTACTCCGTGAGGGTCTTTGCCGGACAGGAGCCTAGCTGCGTGTGGGTGGGCTGGGTCACTCCTGACTACCATCAGCACGACATGAGCTTCGACCTCAGCAAGGTCCGGGTCGTGACAGTGACCATGGGGGATGAACAAGGCAACATCCACAGCAGGTGCTGGGGCTGCGGGGAGGTGGGTGGTGCAGGGTGGGGAGGGCAGGAGGCAGTGGGTGCTCCCGACACCAGCTCAGTGGCTGCCTGGTGGTGGGACCTGGGAACCTTCTGGAGCAGGAGGATGCTCTGGGGCACTGGGCACCCAGCTTGGAAGCTTCCCTCCTTCTCTTTTTTCTCTTCTCTTCCTGCCCTGGTATTTTTCTTCTCCTCCTCCTCCTCTTTCTCCATTTCTCCTATTCCATTTTCTCCTTTTCCTTCTCATCCTCTTACATCTCACCCTTCTCATTCTCTGTAATCTCATTCTCTCTCCTCCTGCTTCCTTTCCTTTTCCTCCTTTCAGACCCCCACCCCCAGCCTGACTCCCCACCACACCAGCTGCAAAGAATCCCAGCTCCGAAGAGCTCAGTGTCTGGGGCGAGGGGTTTCAGTGCTCAGGTCTGCAGGGGGCGGGCGCTTGGGGATGGGACTCTGAGGTTGTGTGTTTCCGGGAGCTTGGGGAAGGGGGTGTCCAGGGTCCAGAGCTACTCAGACGAGGAGTGCAGTGACCGCTTCTGTCTCCTGCAGCCTCAAGTGCAGCAATTGCTACATGGTGTGGGGTGGGGACTTTGTGAGTCCCGGGCAGCAGGGCCGGATCAGCCACACGGATCTTGTCATTGGGTGCCTGGTGGACTTGGCCACTGGCTTAATGACCTTTACAGCCAATGGCAAAGAGAGCAACACCTTTTTCCAGGTGAGTCCAGATCACAGCAACTTAGTGAGAGCATCCTCATGTCCCAGCATCCCAGGACAGCCCTTACAGATGTCCCCTGAGGACAGACCTCAGAGAGATGGAACAAAAAGAGCTCCTAGGCTGTCCTCAAGAGGTCGCTGGGAGACCACCTTGTTGAAACTTCCATGAAGCTAAGGTCCAGACTGGAGGAGATACAGAATCTCACTCTGTTGCCCAGACTGGAGTGCAAATGGCATGATCCTGGCTTATCAAAACCTTCGCCTCCTGGGTTAGAGGGATTCTCCTGCC